GTCTGCTTAGTAGTAGGATCTATGTTTCCCTACTATATTCTAGCACCTAGCTCATGGTAGGCATTTAAGTTTGTTCAATAAATACATTTTTAAATAAAAGTTTGATTCTATAATCACTTTAGGTATTTTTATGAGACTATATATAAACCCAATTTATAAAATTCAGCTTATGGTAAACCCACAATGACTCCAAGAGCCAGCCAACTAGCACTTATCAGTCTAATGGTCATTAAGACCAAATTACCTGTATTAGATTAAATAAGCAATAACTTGATCTCTTATCCACATTTGAAATTTCCCTTCAAAATAGATTATAACAGCCTTAAAGATACATTATGGTCTTAGGCAAATTATGCATTTTGTACCTTTGTTTCAAAACAACATCAACTATTGTCTATTACATATTTTGGAAATACAAATAGAATTTGGGCTGGTCTCCCAATTTTAACTACATTCACACCACCTTAATAGAATTTCCAATAGAACTGGTTTTAGTTTTGTTTAAAAAAGAAAATCATTACACTTTAAGTAAGGATAAAGTACTGCAAAATTAGATTTTGGGGATTCACCAAAATCCAAACTATTGTAATTCATTGGATTAATTAAAATATTGGAAAGGTAACGGAACAAAAGAAACAGAACATTTTACCTTTAAAATACAGCATAAATAATAATTTATTCATTTAAAAGAAGGGTGCTAAAAGCAGAACCCAGAAAGTTCTTGACTTAACAAGCCAAGGAATTCACTTGGTATTTATTTCTGGGATACAAACTGTACACAAATTACCACACAATTATTTTTCACAATGTTAACAATGAATAGGTTATATTTCCAAAGGGTCAAATAAAAAAACTCACTAAAAATTTTAAGACTGATAAAAAAATTAATTCACATATTTCAGTTCATACTCAATTCATTCAGATATTCTTTTTGACAATCAGTGTAATTCATTACATACTAAATATAACACCATATTTATGCACAAATAAATTTATTTTCCCAGTAAGAGCTAATCTGCCTTTAAGAAGATTTCCCACATATTCACAGTACTTAATATCACAGAACACCCATATTTGGCCTAAATGTCTCTGAATTGTAGCATTACAAGATGGAAGTTCATTGTGCCTGATAATTTGATTGAGTTTTGCCCAAATGTCTTCCAGAGTTTGGTTGCTATTACAAATAGTGTGTTCTATTGTCCATCTTGCTCTATAAAGTGAGTGCAAATTTAGTGCCTTTAAACTATCTTGTAATTTTTCAGACAAAGGAAAAATATTTTCAGTATAATTATGGCTGGGAAGTGAAACACTCCAAGACCTCTTCCTGTGCTGTCTTCCTTTTTCTGACTGTTTATTCACATTTCCAGAATTAGTTTGTTCATTCAGTGTGTATGACTGGATTAGGTGCTTTTTTCTCAAATTGGGTTGAAACTCCAATAGATCTACTGTGCAGTCATAACTCTGTGATTTAACATCATGTTCTGCAATGGCTGAGTACTGTTTCACATCTTCAGCTGCCTCCTCCGAAATCACAGGTGGTGATCTTTTAGGTTTGAGTGTACATTTGGACCCATCATGTGGAAACCAAGGAATAAATCTTGATAGTGGGCGTGTAGGAAAGTCCTGAATTATTTTCTTTGCAATTTTTAGCAGTTGTGTGGAATCACTCTCATACGGTCGATAATGTAGTATTACTTCTGTAGTCATTTTGCAGTAATCCAGTTACTCTTAATAAATACAAAATTTCTTAGCTGAGCTCCTCAGTGCTAGAATGTAATTCATAATTACAAGACTGCTCCTCTTTCCAAATCAGAGGGAAACAGGACCTAAAGGGGAAGTATTACAAAAAATAAGATAATGTAGGGATAGCCTAAATACAAATAGGTAGGGAGAAAATAAAAAACAAAAATCAATCCCAATATGTTTTACCAAATTGCTGCTGGTAAATGTGAATGTAATCCACAAAATTGGAAATTCTTTCTCTCACCAAAATTAGGGGTCTGGATTAGATGTCCTCTAAGATCACTTCCAGCCCCAAACTGCTAGCAGTCAATATGTTTAACTAAACATATATAAAATACTTGGTAGTATTGATAATAATATATTATAAAATAATAATTGTAAGACTATACCAGAAACAGAGTACATTGGTGATTCTTAAAATACTAGATTCATATGAAGATAAAATGTAGTAACTCTTAAAAATTTGTAACATCTGAATTGAGGACAATGAAAATCACTGTAATTTTTAATCTTGAAGGGTCATTTTATTTTATTGAAGTATCATTGATACACAGTTTTTTAATTGAAGTATACTTGATATGCAATCTTACAAAAATTTCAAATGTACAACACAGTGGTTCAGCAGTTACCCATATTATTAAATCCTCACCCCCGCTAGTAGTTACTCTCTGTCAACATAGGAATATGTAGAGAATCATTGACTATATTCTCCATGCTGTACTACTATCCCCAAAACAGGTCATTTTATACTTTAAAACTATATGAATTCTACCAAGCAAATTCATAGACAGATTACTTAATGATCTTATTTCATTCTCAACAGTAAACATGAAAATGGTTTGAATTTGTAGTTTAACCAGGGTAGGAACTGATTCCGTGACAATGTCTGTTTGTATAATTTGGGCACTTAAACGCAGTAGGGAGACCTTAGTACAATGGCTCCTAAATTCCAATTTGGAAAGGATAAAGTCTAGACCCTTATTTATTTTTTTTCCTTTTGCAAAATAGAATTCCTCAAGTTGTCCAAAATTAATAATAATAAATTCCAGCATGTATACATAGGCTCAAAATGGAGCCTTCCAGGATTCACAGGTTAGACTTCCTAACCAGGCCCAAAGCTGCACCAGTCACAATGCTGGCTCTTTCAAATCCTAGCTGCTGTAGGAAAAAAAAAAAAGATGCTGTATCCCTTGTCCCCAAAATCATTAGAGAACTACTTGATGGGTATTCTCCCACTGACAGGATGACCGTGAGTGGGGACTCCTGTCATGACACAATACTCATTTGACCACTGATTCTGAAGAGTCAGAAGTAATTAATCTCACAAAGATTCTTTTCACTTGTTGATGTCCAGTAACAGGTTTGACAGCTCTGAAATTCATAAATGACTGTGATCCTTAACGTGCATAAATATAGATCTAAATATAGACAGCATATTCTTTCAAGAACAATGTTTTAATTTTTTTCTTCCCTCTTCCTTACACATTCACATTTTAAGATATGACATAGATATATTTCATTTTCATGTGAACCTATTCAGTGTTGTAATCCAGGGACACTGAAATTGTGAGAGCTCCTTAATATTTTACCTATGACAAAAGTAAACATAAATGACCATACAAATATATTTGACATCCAACATCAGTAAAATTAAAACTTGTTAAAATTCCTGATTAACTAGGCCAATGGAGAACTATGGTACAGCTGAAATTACCAGTGACGTTCAAAGCACTTGTCCTCTTAGGCTGCTAAAATAGTCTTTCCCTGGTATCTTCTGGCTTAGAAAATAAATAATAGAAAACTAAAAATTTCCAGTAGCAGTTAGCCTCCACATCACCAGAACTTAACTGATTTAATAGCTTACAATTTGTGTAAAATCCCACCTAGAAGTGAATAGAATTGCTCCAAATTCCCATCAAAGTAGCTAATAAGGGAATGATCTCTGAAAATATTGTTTCCTTCATTAGGAGACAACATGGAGTCTTGGAAATATAGAGGAAGGTTGAAATATTGTCTCAATCACTAGCTTTGTGGTCTTGGAAAAGTCTCAAGTAGACTTAAGCAGAATCTCTTAAGTAGAGTTAAGTAGAATCTATTCCACATACTTGATTTGAGATTGAGAAGGAAAGAACATGATGGTTAATTCCTCTTCTTCTTTTCCTCTTTCTCCAGGAATAATGCACTTTAGTCCAGCTCATTTGGTCAGGCTAAGTAAGCTTACAGATCTTATTGCTATAAGTTTGCAGGTTCTATTACTTAATATTGCAGTTTCTTAGTTCTACAGAGAGAGTCCTTCTAATTGCAGCTATCAGTATTTGATTTTGTGTTACAAATGGGACTTCTGTTACAAACGGTGAGCTTCTGGAACGTTTGATGCTTATTTCACAACTATGGGGGATAAGGGTCTCTCAGAATGGATGCTGAGAGGAAGGTAAGTGCAATTCAATTGAATTCAAATGGCTATAGAGCATTTTTTCAGCTAAGTTCAAGGCGGCATTGGTAACCACGTAGTAGGGCATCCAGAAATAAGAAGTACATTTGTGATAGTGGAAAACAGATGAAATAAAGCTGAAAGCATTTATAATAAAAGGTTTTCAGAAAATAGGAATTCCAGAAAAACCTCCCTGCTGCTTTTTGCTAATAACGAACCACTTAAACCACCAAATTTTGTTTTCTGTGTACAGAAAATCAAAGTTAACATGCATTTTTCCACATTGGCAATACCTTGAACTACACTGCAGCTAAGTTTTAACAAACCCAAATTATATCTTGTCGTACTATGCTCTTTAGATCCGGGACCCTGTTGTCGTGCAATATACTAGACTCATTTTACAGAGGAAGCTGAAGCCTACTAACTTCGTCAGTGCCACATGAAGGGACAAGAAACAGAAGACAAACCACTTTAGATGCCGCTGTCAGTCATTTATTTTGGTTCATAAGGCTCTCCCTAGGTACTGGGGGGGTGGGTGGGGCGGGGTGCGGGGATGTCATCTCCTGCTGCTAAAATCTGGTGGATTGCAGCAGCAAATAACAGTGAACGATTTAGCAGGTATGTATTCCATTTTAGAGGGAGGCTCTCAAATAAAAAGCAAAGAGAAATTGCTTCCTTCCGCTCGGCGCTGAGGTACACAGAGCAGTAGGGTGAGCACTGACAGCTTAAAGCGAGGCCTACATCCCAGAGGCTAGTTCTACGTAACAAAGGCTCCCAGACCTGGTGAGAGAAGGAATTAAAAGGAATCAGGTTCGCAAAAGTTTACCTTTCAGAGCCAGCAGGTGCTCCTGTTTGGGGGGATTCACTTCCATTTTCACAGGCACTTCACCTTCGGGCTACGGAGACTGAAGAGGTTCAACGTAACCCGGAAGAAAAGGAACACATACACTCCCGACAGGGTCTTTCTGACGCTGGTGCCTTAAATTCTCTTACCACGTCCTTTAAGGACTCAACGGCTCCTTTTTGCAAAATCTATCTCTTGCTTCTCAGAGACCTGGACGTAAAATACTTCTCTATTTTCCAGGCACAATCGCACAATCCAGCTTCAAGACACCGCTCCACGGCAGCCTGCCACACGCGCGCGCTGAGGCGTAGCCGATGTAGATGAAGCCTGGGGTTTCTGGTTTAGCCCAAACCGCATTGCATGCAGGGAGGTGTAGTCTCTCAACTGGGGAGGAGAGATTGTTACTGACTGGAGCGGGTGTTTCACTCCAAACCTTGTTTGTTTTTTTCCATGCTACAACTTTCTTTAATTGTGTTAACTATGGGTATTTGTCATTTAAAGAAGAAAAAGAAATAAAACTGGAGGGATGTAATTGTGTGAGAAATATCATCTGGGCTGCTATGTAAAGGTGGAATGAATAGATGTGGGGAAGCAGAAGACCATGGCAGACCAGGAAAGAGATGGTGGTAGCTTAAAAAGTCATAAATGTAAATGTGAGGATTCAGTTATAAAAAATTTAAGCTTATATTCTGGTTTCCCTTCCACCCACTTCCCATTCACTTCTTTCTTGTACTTGTCTTTACCTAGACTAAGAAAATATAAATTCTTCCCCTTAACAAATGTACTGGAAGTGCTCCTTTAAACACAAATACCTAAGAAATTCAAACAAAAAGGCAGTAATAAGAGGACATGCATGTATTAAATTTCCTTTAGATGTGGTGGTTTGATTTCTTTAAACACTGGGCACATGGACCAGAGCTTATTTTCATGACTGGATTACAGCCCCATAAAATAAGGGCACACCTATGTATACAATCACTTTTTCACTGAATCTATCTTGTCCAAACCTTGTTTTATCCCTTCTTTTTGTCTTTAACTTTAGTCGTTTCCTCAGCCGTAGACTCCTTAGTAATGAAAATAACAAACCGCCGACGCAGAAGGCTGTGCAAGCAGTTTAGCGACTGGCGGGAGGCGGAGCGACCAGTGGGCGGTGCGGCCCTCCGCACGGTACTGCGCCTGCGCGCCAGCGGGAGCGCCGAGGCCTCTGGGTAGGTGAGGCTGTAGGCCGCCTCTCACTGCGCGGCCTTGACGGCTGCTGCTGCGGCGCCGGTCCCTCTGGGATGGCTACCCTGGTTGTAAACAAGCCTGGAGCGGGACTTGACAGTGGCCGTCAGGGCAGCCGTGGGACGGCCGTGGTGAAGGTGAGGGACCTCGCGTGCTCTGTTCACCATCGGCCTCCCTTCGTTCATCCCGGAGATCCGGTGGCCGCGCCGCGGCCCTGGCTTCTTGGGCGCGATGCGCGGCCGCTGGGCCCCTTTAAGCTTTACGAGCCTTGCCCTCCGCTCCGCGACCTTTATCTTGCCAGGCCTGAGGTTACCTGGTCTGCCCCTGTCGGTCCTCTGCTTGGCCAACGGGGACATTTGTGAAAAGGAACTTAGAGGCGTGGGCTGGTCCTTCCCCACGTCCTCTTTTAGTTAAGCTCAACAAGCATCAATTAGCTTATTTTTATTAAATTAAGTCATTATTATCGCTAGGTAGGTTAGATATTTTAGCTTGTTAATATTTACTTATGAGGGAGATGTTAATATTCATTTTACAGATGAGGAAACTCCGATTTGGTTAACAGTGTGTGGCAGACACAAGGCAGACTGACTATAAAGTCAGCTTTTCATTATTGCACTACTTCTATAACCAGATACCTATCTGTCCCCTCCTCTCTTGGTACCCGTTTTTCAACACTTTTGAGAAGTCTCCAACAGCAGCATAGCTGGACAGTAAGGTTAGGGTTTATGAATTGCTGTGTGCTTGAAATGTGAAGTTCTACCATGTGTAAATGCTCCAAAATACATTTTCTAAAAAGAGTTGAAATGTGTGGAATTCATTTTTCCCTTCGTATATATATATGGAGAGGTATAGATCTCGAAAAGGGAAATGATCTCAGTGGTTTGCAGAATAACCTCCAGGGTCGTCTGTAATCTGAGATACTGGCAGTTCTCATGCCTGACTACCTATTATAATCACTGAGGACTTAAAACAAAACAAAACACTACTGATTCACTCCTCTTCCCCCAGTTCTGATTAACTTGACATCAGTATATTTTTTACATCCCTAAAAGTGATTTTAATGTGCAACCAGGGTTGAGAAACACTGGACCAGATAATATCTGGTCTTTTATGATCTTGAATAGGCACCTATGATTCCTCACCTAGTGTTGGTTTTGTAAGACAACGAATGGTGTACATTTTTGCTTGCAACCATATTACCAATCAATATTTAGGTTGTTGATTCATCTGACCTTTACCTATTAGTGGTGTTATTCTGAAAGTACACAGCATATCTGAGGTGCAGAGGAGCCTTGTTATTATCAGGCATGTTGTTTGGTTGAGATTTATTTATTGAATGGTGCTTTTTCTAAGGAGAGACTACCTGAAGGTTGTTTTGTGAATTAACTTGAATTAATAAGTTGTAATTGGGATGGATATTGCTTTGTCTACTTTTGTTACCTTTTGCTTTAAAATCTCAAAAATAACCGAAAGCCTGATGTAATTCTAATTTGTTATAGCACAGGATTTGCTGTATTAGAAGCTCACTTCGTTCATTTTCATCTTTACATGTACAGTGTTCCTGAGCTGTGCAGTAGGCTAGTTCTTTTTGTCAAGATCCTCTAAGAAGTATGTCAAGATCCTCTAAGAAGAATATTAAATTAAAAAAAAAATCTCGTTGTCATTTTTAATAGACAAAAGCAAGAAATGTTCATTGGAGAGTAAAGTTTGAAGTATATAATGCCAATAATACCTAGTGTGGGCTTCTGCTTAGCGAATGAGTTGAAGACATGGTTTTTATCATTAGGAAAAACAAAGACAAAAATCTAATACGAAATTTACATCAAAGAGTCAGGAAAATATTTTTGAATAGTGAGCCTATTTAGTCGTTTTAAAATATGGTCTGGTTTATAAAAATTTTATTTGCATTTAGTAAGTTTGAAGCCCTCTTTGGCGTATTTGTGAAGTTTCTTTTCCTATCTAGGATTTAATTTCTTATATGTTAGCCACAATTCCTATTCGTAAATACTGAAGAAAGAATTTCTTGCTCTATTATTTGTTGAGTTGATGCAAAATAGTCTAGTAACTCTATATTTGGACCCATGTTTGCTTTACTAATCAGTGGAATTTTGCTAGTGCTTTTTGAAAAAACCTATTATAACAACATGAGTAAGTTCTTTTTCTTGTGTAATGATGTAGTCAGAGATATAAGATATGAATGAACTTTTAATTTTAGTTTAGTCTTTTGGAATTTATTGTCATGAACAAGTTTAATTTATTATGGTGTCATAATAGGGAGAACAGTTACAAAAGTTGCATATATTTTATGTCTAATTCTGTTAATATCTTTTTTGTATTTAATTGAATTTGGTATTTAGGTAAACTTTCTCCTGCCTTTTTTTTAAAATGCAAGAGAAATTGAAGCATGTGTGTGTATAATATATTTAATTTATGTGTAGCTGTTCCTCAGCTGCTTGCCTTCCTGATAGGGGATCATTATTCCATTGTAATCAGTTACCTGTGTCTTGCCTGAAAGATAGTATGCCTATATAACTATATATATACACACACACATATATAAATATATGCTCTCTTTCTCTCCCCAGTTTTACACAAAAGTTAAATATTCCATGTATCATTTTTCACTTTGCTTTATTTGTATGAAGTCATTCTGTGTGTATACATAAAAAACTTTCTAAGTCTCCCTCACTAGGCTGCATAGTTTTGTGATCTATGAATATATCATAATTTATTTTCCAGTCTTATATTAATATATTGATATATATTTACTTTGCAATCTTTTTTTTGTAAATGCAAATGGTGCTGTAAGGAATTACATTTAGATCTTCTCACACCTGTGTGATATATTTATAGGATAAATTACTGGAGGTAGAATAAATAAGCTATCCAGACTTTTGATAGGTATTGCCAAATTGCCTTCAATAGAGGCCGTGTCAATTAATAAACATTTCATAGCAACCAGCAATGTGTGAGAGGATCTGTTTTCCCACAGTCACCAACACATTGTTTTAACAACCTTTTTGATCAAATCTGAAAAAAAGTATATTGGTATAGCTTTAATTGCATTTCAAAGTATTTTGATTGAGATTGGACATCTCTTCATTTATTTTTCTGTGAACTATCTGTTACATTTAAGCTTCTTTTGAACCATACTGGGATGGGAGCCAATTATGAATTATCAGTTTATTTACAGTGAAAAATGTTTACATTTCAGGCACTAAGTTCAATTAATTGAAAAGTTAAGATTAAAATTTTAATGATCAAGTCTGATTTCCACTTTGAGTTTATTGGTTTTTACCTTATGTATTTGTTGGGGGATGGTGGTTGGCTGAATTGTTTTAAAATTTTTATTTTGTTAGACTTTATATAAACACACAAGTGCTTGGTATTTGGAATACCTGTTCCTGGGAGCTTTTTAGTTTAACAGGAAAAGACAGGTTGGAAAGCCCAGAGAGGTTTTAAAGTGTTTTAAGTGTTTAGAATTTTATCTGTGGTGCACGGGGTAGGTCCCAAGGCACAGTGTGGTCATTTCTGGTGGACCGAGCAGTAGGGGACCTGAGAGATATGGTTGTTAGGAGTTTTTTGAGTTATTAATGTGTAAAAAGGGTTGGGAAATGTCTATTCAGCTATTTCCTCAGTATTAGCATAAACAAAAAAGCAAAAACAGTTTGTCACATTCTGAGAATTACAAATTGTTTGATATAGTTTGAGAATAGAGTTGGAAGTGAGGTGTCAGTGAAGCAATAGGACAGAGGCCAGATTGTATGTAGCAGGCTATTGATGGCAGACACAGGAGTTTATGGCACAATTGAACAGTTCAGTGTGGGTATTTTAAAAAGCTAATAATTAAAATTGTGAAACACTTAAGGTATATTAAGAAATGAAAGTACCAAGAATGCTTTATTGATAGAAATATAGTTTGTTGACTAATTCTAAAATATAAATGCACGTACCTGGGAATCAGAATATGCTGATTCTTGTTGCCTTTCTCTTGATTGACTACATGGCCTTGGACAAGTCATGTACTTGTAATTGGAACTAGATAGACAAAATATTTTCTAACCCAGGGGCATATTTATTAATTGGGAGCAACGAACTGAAATTTAAGTCTAGGGTGATTGCTTTCTTGCCTTTGTATTATGTAATATAAATGGATGGTAGAAGATATTTGAAAATTACTTAGTCTTAACAAGTTCTTTATCATTTACAGTGGTAAATTGTCCTCCTAGCACATATTTCAAAAATTTTTTGTCCTAATTATTGATGCTTTTTGGGGGTTAGGCAACAGAGAAATTGTTTAGGAATCCAAGTTCAGTAGAATTATATATTATTACAGCTCCAGATATAATGAATCAAGTCATAATTTTGAAAATATAAGGATGATTTAATTTACAACATTATCTTGGTCTCTAACCCAACATTTCTTGGAGATTTCACTGTGATAACAGTTTGGTAGGGTTTGTCAGATGAAATGATAAAAGTTGATTTAAGATTTTATAGCCTGTCTAGATAGTTTTTTTCATGGAGGAATAAAGTAACAAGATTGCTTCAGCATATTAGATCAGGTTTTTAGGGGCCTAAAATATATATGCTTTTCAAGTCATTTAAGAAGAACATGTTTCCTTTCCAAATATTAGGTGCTGGAGTGTGGAGTTTGTGAAGATGTGTTCTCTTTTCAAGGAGACAAAGTTCCTCGCCTTCTGCTCTGTGGCCACACAGTCTGTCATGACTGTCTCACCCGCTTGCCTCTTCATGGAAGAGCAATCCGTTGCCCTTTTGATCGACAAGTAACAGATCTAGGTAGGTAAACATAATATATGTATATATTAAAGATTTAAAATTCTTCATGTAATACAAATGTCATAGAAAACAATTTCTACTTGATTTTCTTTGATTGTTAGCATTTTTCTTATTGAAGTATCATTGATATGCAACCTTATATTCGTTTCAAATATACAACACTGGTTCAACAATTCCCCTTATTAAATCCTCACTCCAACTAATTGCGGTAACTATTTGTCAACACAGAAAGATGTTACAAAATCACTAACTATATTCTCCATGCTGTACTACTACCCCTGTGGCCGATTTCTGTTATGATTGAGAATTTATCCCCCTAACCCTTCACACCCGCCCACCCTAATCCCTCCTGCACGGTTACCATTAGTCACAGTGTCTATGAGTCTACTGCTGTTTTGTTCATTCTGTTTTGCTTCGTTTTTAGATTCCACGAGTAAGTATTGTCTTTCTCTGCCTGGCTTATTTCACTGAGCATAATACCCTTTAGGTCCATCCATGTTGTTGCAAATGGCAGGATTTCTTTTTTTATGGCTGAATAATATTCCACTGTGTATATGTACTACCTCTTCCTTATGCATTCATCTATTGATGGGCACTTAGGTTGCTTCCACATTTGGCTATTGTAAATAATGCGGTGATAAACATAGGGGTGCATATATTTTTTTGGATTAGGGATTTTATTTTCTTCAAGTAAATTCCTAGAACTGGAGTTACTGGATCAAATGTAATTCTACATTTAGTTTTTTGAGGAGTCTCCATACTGCTTGAAATTTTTGTACCAATACATTCACACCAAGTGTAGGAGGGTTCCCATTTCTTCATATCCTCGCCAATACTTATTATTTCCTTTGTTTTGGATAGTGGCCATTCTAAGCGGTGTGAAGTGATATCTCATTGAGATTTTGATTTGCATTTTCCCGATGATTAGCAATGTGGAGCATATTTTCATGTGCCTGTTGGCCATCTGAATTTCTTTAGAAAAATGTCGGTTCAGGTCCTCAGCCCATTTCTTAATTGGGTTGTTTTTTGGTGTTGGGGCATGTGAGTTCTTTATTTAATTTTGGATGTTAAACCCTTATCAGATGAATTATTTATGAATATATTCTCCTGTAGAGTACTGTGCCTTTTTGTTCTGCTGTGGTGCCCTTTGCTATACAGAAGCTTTTTAGTTTGATGTAGCCCATATGTTCATTTTTGATTTTGTTCCCCTTGCCTGAGGAGATGTGTCCAGGAAAAAAATTGCTTATACTTATGTTCAGGTTTTATCCTAAGAGTTTTATGGTTTCATGATTTATATTCAGGTCTTTGATCCAGTCAAGTTTACTTTTGTATATGGAGTTAGACTGTAATCTAGTTTCATTCTCGTGCATGTAGCTGTCCAGTTTTGCCAACACCAGTGTCTGAAGAGACTGTCTTTTCCCCATTGTATTAATGGCTCCTTTACAATGTATTAATCGACCATATATGTGTGGGTTTATATCTGAGCTCTCTATTCTGTTCCATTGATCTATGTTCTTGTGTGGGTACCATACTTTTTTGATTACCATAACTTTGTAGTATAGCTTGAAATCAAGCAGTGTAATCCCCCAGATTTGTTCTTCTTTCTCAGGATTGTTTTGGCTATTTGGAAACTTTTGTGGTTCCACTTGAATTTTAGGATGATTTGCTCTAGTTCATTGAAAATGCCATTGGAATTTTCATAGGGATTTCATTGAATCTGTAAATTGCTTTGGGCAGGTTGGCCATTTTGACAATATTAATTCTTCCTATTCATGAGCTTGGGTTAGGTTTCCATTTATTTGTGGTATCTTTTAATTTCTCTCATGAGTGTCTTACAGTTTTCAGAGTATAGGTGTTTTACTTCCTTGGTCAGGTTTATTCCTAGGTATTTTATTATTTTTGATATAAGTGTAAATGGGGTTGTTTTCCTGATTTCTCTTTCTCCTAGTTTGTTGTTAGTATGTAGGCATGCAACAGAGTTCTGTGTATTAATTTTGTATCCTGCAACTTTGCTGAATTCAGTTATTAGGTTTTAATAATTTTTTGGTGGAGTCTTTAGGGTTTTTTATGTATAATATCATGTCATGTGCAAATACTGAGAGTTTAACTTCTTCTTTGCCAATTTGGATGCCTTTTATCTCTTTGTGTTGTCTAGTTGCTGTGGCTAGGACTTCCAGTGCTATGTTAAGTAAAAGTGGTGAGAGTGGACATCCTTGTCTTGTTCCTGACCTTAGAGGAAAATCTTTAAGCTTTTCGCTGTTACGTATGATGCTGGTTGTGGGTTTGTTGTATATGGCCTTTATTATGTTGAGGTATGTACCCTGCAAACCCATTTTGTTGAGAGTTTTTATCATGAATGGATGTTGAATTTTGTCAAAAGCTTTTTAGTATATATTCAGATGATTATGTGGTTTTTATCCTTCATTTTGTTAATGTGGGTATGACATTGATTGATTAACAACTATTGTAGCATCCTTGCATACCTAGAATAAATGACACTTGGTCATGGTAGATGACCTTTTTGATGTATTTTTGAATTTGGTTTGCTAATATTTTGTTGAGAATTTTTGCATCTATGTTCATCAGGGATATTGGTCTATAAATTTCTTTATTTGTAGTGTCTTTTCCTGGTTTTGGTATTAGAGTAATGCTGGCCTCATAGAATGATTTTGAAAGTATTCCTTCCTCTTCTACTTTTTGGAATACTTTAAGAAGGATGGGTACTAGCTCTTTAAATATTTGGTGGAATTCTGTTTTGGAGCCATCTGGACATGGAATTTTCTTTGTTGGGAGTTCTTTAATTACCAATTTGATTTCATTGCTGGTAATTGGTCTGTTCAGGTTTTTTATTCTTTCTGGGTCAATCTTGGAAGATTGTATTTTTCTAGGAAATAGTCCATTTCTGCTAGTTTCTCCAATTTATTGGCATATAATTTTTCATAGACTTCTTTGGTTATTCTTTGTATATATCTGGTTTCCATTCTGACTATTCCTTTTTTGTTTCTGATTTTGTTTGTATACTCTCTCTTTTGTCTTGATAAGTCTGGCTAGGGGTTTATGTATTTTGTTTATTTTATCAAAGAACCAGCTCTTGGATTAAATGATTTTTTTCTATTATTTTATTCTTGTCTATTTCTGCTCTGATCTTTCTTATGTCCCTCCTTCTCCTAACTTTGGGTTTCATTTATTCTTCTTTTTATAGTTTCTTTAATTGTGAATTTAGACTGTTTATTTGGGATGGTTTTTGTTTCTTGAGGTAAGCCTGTATTAATTTGTACTTCCCTCTTAGAACCACAGATTTTGAACTGTTGATTTTGTTTTCCTTTGTCTCCATGTATTTCTTGATTTTGTTTTGATTTGTTCATTGATCCATTGATTATTTAGAAACATGCTATTTAGCTTCCACATGTTTGTAGGCTTTTTGTTTTCTTTGTGTACTTTATTTCTACTTCCATACCATTGTGCTTTGAGAAGCTGCTTGAGACAGTTTCACTCTTTTTGAATTTATTGGGGCTTTTTGTGGTCTAGTATGTGATGTATTCTGGAGAACTTCCATGTTCCCTTGAGTAGAACATGGTAGAATATTCTGCTTTTGGGTAGAATATTCTGTAGACATCTGTTATGTCCGTCTTGCTCAGTGCCTCTGTTCCCTTATTTATTTTCTGTCTGGTTGATCTGTCTATTGAGTTGAGTGGTGTGTTAAAGATTCCTAAAATGAGTGAGTTGTAATCTATTTCCCCCTTTAATTCTGTTAGTATTTGTTGTACATATTTAGGTGCACCTATATTGAGTGCATAGATATCCATAATGTTATATCCTCTTGTTATATCCCCTTTATAATTAATGTCCTTCTTTCTCTCTTGTTACTTTCTTTGTTTTGAAGTCTATTTTGTCTAATACAAGTACTGCAACTTCTGCTTTGTTCTCCCTATTATTTGCATGAAATACCTTTTTCTATCCCTTCTCTTTTGGTGTGTATGTCTTTGGGTCTGAAATGGGTCTCTTGTAGGCAGCATATAGATGGGTCCTGTTTCTTTATCTATTCTGCCACTCTATGTCTTTTGATTGGTGCATCCATTCTACTTCCATTTAAGGTTATTATTGATAGATATTTACATACTGTCATTTTATTAATTGTTTTCTGATTGTTATTATAGCTCTTCTCTGTTCCTTTATTCCTCTCTTCTCTCCTTTTTTTTATTTGATGGTATTCTTTGGTGTTATGACTGGATCTCTCTTTTTAAATATTTTGTGTATGTATTACAGGCTTTAGATCTGTGGTTTCTGTAAGGTTCAAGGATAGGTTCTTGACTATAACAGTTTATATTAAGTTGATGACTGCTCTATTTCAAACAGAAAAAGTATTTATTTTTTTCCTTTTTATTCCTCCTGTATACATTATGTATTAGATATCATAATCTGCCTTTTTGTGTATCCCTTGACTGGTTTTATATAGAGTTGGTTTTACTTCTTTGTTTTAATTTCATACTTGCTTGATAATTAATTGGTCTACTACCTTTACTGTGGGTTTATTTTCTCTGGTGAAAATTATTTAGCCATAGGAACATTTCCATCTCCAGCAGTCCCTTTAACATATCCTGTAATGCTGCTTTAGTGGTTATAAATTCCTTGAGCCTTCATTTAGCTGAAAAATGTTTAATCTCTCCTTCAAATCTGAATGATAATCTTGTTGGGTAGTAGAATCTTGGTTGAAGTTCCTTTTGTTAATTAAGTAATTTAAAAAATTAAATAGTTTATGCCACCTCCTTCTGGCCTGTAAAGTTTCTGCTGAGAAGTCTGCTGATAGACTGATGGGGCTTCCCTTATAAGTAATCTTTTTTCTCTCCCTGGCCACTTTCAGTACACTTTGTTTATCCTTAATTGCTATCATTTGAATTTTTATATGTCTTGGTGTTGTCTTCCTGGGGTTCCCTTTATTAGGAATCTCTGTACTTCCATGACCTGAGTGTCTGTTTCCTTTTCCTGAATGGGGATGTTTT